ACCTACCCTACTCCAGTATGGCCTCATCTTAACTAAATGCATCTGCAAGGACACTATATTCAAGTAACATCACACTCTGAAGTACGGGGAGTTAGAGCTCCAATGTGTTTCTTGTGGGACACAGTTTAACCCCTAACAACTCCTAAGGTGTCTAGGGAATGCATTCTAAGGAATTGCCATGAGATTTTTATTTTTAAGTCACATTTCTTGGTTTTAAACTATACCTAACCTTGTTTAGCTTCCTTCTGAATCTTAACTTCAGTTTGATCAAATTTGAGTGATAGAAGATTCAAGCAATTTATAGGGTTATGTATGTAACATAAGGGTTTGTCCTAAGCCATGATAAGGTTTTCTAAACATGTGTATACAGGTGGTCCCTGGCTTCACTGCTTTTTGACTTTATGTTGGTGCAAAAGCAATAAACCTTTGGAAGAAACTGTACTTCAGATTTTTGGTTTTGACCTTTTCCCAACTAGTGAAAGGGTGTGACTCAATGCAGCCACATAGTTTGAGGGTGAATGGTTGGTGCTCCACAGGGGACTTAGGTGCTGCCAGCATTTTTTGGATATTGTGTTTTGTGTTTTTGCATCCCATCACACCTACGACATGCTCCTTTTCAGCTTTACAATGTTTTCAGTTTGTGGTGGGTTTGATGAACGTCTGTAGACATACATCCATCTGGACTTCCTCCAGTTGCTCTGGAGGTTTTACATTTGTTTTAATCTCTGCAGAATGTTTTGTTAACAAATCTTTCTCCTTTTAGTGTGGATTTTTTTAATAGTGAAAGTTATTTGGAATTAAGTTTAGGGAACTCATAAACAGCCTGGTTGGCTAATGGTCTTCTGGTAAAAAAATGAGCCATATAGTTCTTTTATTTTATTTTATTTTTTTATTTTAAAGATGTAGGATACAACTCAGGATTAGGTACATAAGTGGTCATCATTCAGGTGAAGTTTAGGTCTCCTTTGGTCCCCATTTGCCTGGTTTGGGATCAGGTACACCTTAGATGTATGCCCCCACCCTCAGCAGTGTTCCACTGCTACCAGTCCTTTTCTTGTAATATTATGGAAAATGTTCAGGGTCTGCTTATGAATGAGAACATGTGGTACTCAGTTCTTCGTTTCCGTGATAGAACACTGAGTATAATAGACTCTAAATCCATCCAAGTTGCTACATATTCTATAATTTTGTCCTTCTTTATGGCTGCATAATATTCCATCACGTATATATACCACATTTTTAAATCCAGTCCACTTTCAGTGGCAGCACGGTTGGTTCCATGTTTTTGCTATTGTGAATAGTGATGCAATAAACATGCATGTCCAGGTATCTTTTTTGTAGAATGATTTGTGTCTTTGGGTATATTCCCAGAAGGGGGATTGCTGGCTCGGATGGAAGGTTGGTTTTTATATCTTTTAGAAATCGCCACACTGTTTTTCACAGAGGTTGTACTGATTTACTCTCCCACCAGCAGTGTAGAAGTGTTCCCTTTCCCCTCCAACATCTGTTGTTTTTTGAGATGTTAATAATGGCCATCCTGACTGGAGTTAGATGGTATCTCAGTGTGGTTTTGATTTGCATTTCTTTGATAATTAGAGAGGCTGAGCATTTTTTTATGTACCTGTTGGCTGCTCATATGTCTTCTTTTGAGAAGTGTCTATTCATATCTTTTGCCCACTTTTTAATAGGACTGTTTGTAAAAAATGAGCCATAGTTCTAAAGTAGTGACATGTTTCTATGTGCTTTAGAGCTTGATTAGAAGGCAGTTCCAAAGCAGACTGTTTGAAGATTTATTTTTTTACTCCATAAATACATAGAACTACATTTTTAAAACAAAATAATTATTATGTTTAAAAATATGTGTTGTGTAACATAATGTCCTTCTCCATGAAACTTGTCTTCCTAAAGCTTATCCTTCTGTCCACAGCAGAAATATTCTAAAACCAGTCAAAATCTAATGATGGGTATACACTAGTTACTAAGTTCAGCTATTAGATAGTCCATTCCGTGGACTTGAATTATGTCGGCCTTGTGAATTCCTGAGCAAGAAAGACTCTGTTGGAGTAACTACTGTTTCTTGCAGTGTTGCTTCACATGTACATTTCTGTATATTTTGTGTCTGTTACCCTTTCTTAGGAGTGTGTTGAGGGAGAGACTCTATCACTACCTCAGTCTGTAACTCTAAATGTGTTTATTTTTATTTTTTTTTTGAGATGGAGTCTCTGTCTCCCAGACTGGAGTGCAGTGACACACTCAAGGCCACCTCAGCATCGACCTGCTGGGCTCAGGTGATCCTTCCACCTCAGCCTTCCAAGTAACTGGAACCACAGGCATGTGCCACCACGCCCAGCTGATTTTTTGATTTATTGTAGAGATGAGGTCTCACCAAGTTGCCCAGGCTGGTCTCGAACCCGTGGGCTGAGGCAGTCCTCTTGCCTCCACCTTCCAAAGTACTGGGATTACAGGTGTGAGTCGTCATGCCTGACCTGTAAATGTGTTTAAATGTTACAAGACATCTGGGTGTTTATTTCCTTTATATTCACATCCCTTTAAAAGATGTGAATCAATTATTACAACATTTATAAGTCAGAAATTACAACTGGTGTGAATCTGAGAAATACACAAGTACTTCTCAATATTTGATAATATCAGAGAAAATGTCAAGAAAGTTATTAGGGAGTTTTAAAAAGTTTCTGCTTTGAAAATATTTTGTGTTGTCTAAAAAGATTACTTGGTATTTATTTTTTCAGACATCTCTTTTTATAGTAATTAATTTATCTGTATTAATAACATGGAAGCTCTTTGCAGGGCCCTGGAATTTCAGCTATCATATTCCAAGACGTGCAGTGCATACAGTCTGGACACACATTTAAAGTGAAACAGTTCCTTGCAAGCATCCTGCTCAGTGGTGTCTAGCCCACACTTGTATCCCCGTGCTTCAGCATTTACTACTGTCTCTTTCCCAACTCCCTTCTTTCTTAACTCTTAGTTGTAATTTGATTTGAAAAATAGTAATCTAGTTCAGTGCTTGAGGAAACTCATGCCTAGAAAAATTAATTTCCTTAAGATTAGACAGCCGGGAACAGTGACTCACATCTGTAATCCCAACTACTTGGGAGGCTAAGGCAGAACATCACTAGAGCCAGAGTTTGAGAGCAGCCTGGGCAAAAAAAAGAAAAAAACATGGTTAGTAGTTGAGTGTGGACGACATTCCAGCCCCTTACTTCAGATGAGCGCTTCTTCCAGTACCCCACCAGTGGCTCACATAGCACTGCTCTCAGGTGGATGTGGCTGAATTTGGGGAAATTGACATTTTTAACCCACAAAACCAGCACATTCACTTAATTCAACCTAATAGCATAAGATAAGTATTCAGACTTTGACTCTGATATTGACCCTCTCATTTAAGTGTCTGGAGACCTTGAAAAGTAACACAAATGTCTCTGTTCCCTTTTTTCATATCTACAGAGATAACAGAACTTACCTCTATACCCTAGGGCTGTTCTGAAAACTAAATGAGGTAATACAAAGCACTTGAATGCTCTCCGTCAGCATTAGCTGCTTTTTATATTCCTAGATTATTTTTTGTTTTTATAGGGTATAAAGAAATCTGACCAAAGATAGAATAAAGTCAGACTGTGAAGGTTAGGACTAACTGAAAACAAGAAAATATAGTGATATTTTATACAGACATCACTGCATATCAGTTGGGCATGGGTAAGGATGCTTCTGAATTTTTCAAATACTGGTTTAAGATACATAGAGAAATACATTTACCTGTCCGTGGACATGTAAATAGGATATAGGTTAGGGAGTTATTCTGAAAGTCAGAATTTGATGATTATTTTAATTACCACATCTTTACATTCAGAAAGCGAGTGATTGAAGGCAGCATCTTTCACTTTGATGTCTGTGGTGTTTGGCACTAGATGGAAAACTGCCACTTTTACAGATGAATACTTTAATGCTTGGTTCATTTATTGAAATAAACTTTCTTTTCTCCTTTAATAATAATGCCCTCCCCATCTGAAAGCTGAAAATATATTTAAGATAATTTATGAAGCAATGAGATACATGTAAGAGGAGATAGGAAGTTTTCTTTCTTTTTTTGAGTTGGAGTCTCACTCTGTTGCCCAAGCTGGAATGCAGTGGTACACTCACGGCTACCCCAGCGTCAACCTGCTGGGTTCTGGTGATTCTTCCGCCTCAGCCTTCCAAGTAGCCAGAACTACAGGTGCACGCTACCACGCCCAACTAATTTTTTGATTTTATTGTAGAAATGAGGTCTTGCCAAGGTGCCTGGGCTGGTCTAGAAACCGGAGACTCAGGCAATCCACCAGTGCGGAAGTTTTCTAAGTGGGATGGGTAAACTAAAGATGTTTCCATTTAGGGAGAGAAGAGAGGAGTGGAAACATCTTTCCCCAGCATCTTCCCCTTCAGGTTAGCCATGCTCAGAAGCCGGGGATGGAGTGGTCAGCTGTGGCTTGTCCTGCGTTCCTGCTGCTGGGAGCTGCCCCTGCCCATCACGCACAGATAAACACACACACACACACACACACCACACACACACACACACAGGTTTACCTGTGTTCACGTGACTTGTTCTATTTTTTTTTAATTATTTTTATTTTATTTTATTTTTTTGAGTTGGAGTCTCACTCAGTCGCCCAGATTGGAGTGCAGTGGCTGCTCCCGGCCACCGCAACTTCGACTTGCTGGGCTCCAGCGATTCTTCCACCTCAGCCTTCCAAGTAGCTGGAACTACAGGCGTGTGCTACCACGCCCGGCTAATTTTTTTTTTAATTTATTGTAGAGATGAGGTCTCACCAAGTTGCCCAGGCGGGTCTCGAACCCGCGGGCTCAGGCAATCCACTGACCTCAGCCTCCCAAGGCGCGGGATTACAGGCTGAACCACCGAGCCCGGCTTGTTCTATTATTTAAAACATCTTTACGTTGTATCTCGCCAAGGAGACCTTTTCTCTTTCCCTCTCTCTTTCTAGAAGGCCAACAATGAGACCAGTCAGAGTGATCCGAGTGTCTCTTCGTCAGGATCCAAGAGCAAAAATAGTCTTCACTTCTTGACCCATGAAACAAAAATGGGATCTTTCCTAAGCAACAAAGCTTTAGATGTCAAAGAGAAAGCCGGCCTTTGTCCAGATGAAGATGATGTGGAGGGGGATTCTTTCTTTGATGATCCCATTCCTAAACCAGAAAAAACTTGTAGTTGGTGAGTAAACTGTTTTTGGATGATCAGGCTAGAGGTTTAAAGATATAATTTCTAAGTGTCTTTATTTTATATTTACAAAATAATGAGCTACTCATGGTTCTATAACCAGTGAATCCACAAATCTGATTTTGTGTTGTTAAAAGCTTTTCTTGTTGTAAAATACTACTAGGCTTTGACATCTAGATGAGATTGATTTGAGTACACAGGTGTGTACTGAGTGCTATGTGCCAAGTACTGTTGGGGGCAGGACACAGCAGTGGTGGAAGAGGCAGAGTCCTGCTCTTAGGAGGCTCACCCTTTGTGACGGAGTCAAACAGAATTATACCTGGGTGGGTACATTGGATGATGAGAGCAAAGTGCTGGTGGGGAGCCTGGGTGAGCAGCTGTCAAGGGGGCCTCACTTGGAGGCCGCCACGGTAGCAGAAAGCCAAAGGAGCTGAGGGAGTGCACCATGCAGATTCTGGGTTTATAGAGCGTTGAGAGAGGAAACGGCAGATTCTGGAACAGCAAGGGAGGGGCTGTGGTTTTAGCTGAGAGGGCAAGAGCGCTCAGAGACAAGGGCTGGGCTTGCTTTCCTCTACTGAGACTCCAGGATACGTCCAGAAGGGTCCCCTGGCTTCTGAGCAGGCTGGACTCAGCTTTCAGGTGGGAGGCTGTTATGATTATTCAGGTGAGAGATGATCATCCACTGTGGTGAGAAGTAAGTGGGTTGGAAGTATCCTGAGGTTAGATTCAAAAGAGTTTGCTGATGGGAGCTAGAGAAGAAAGTAGTATCCATTGTAACTCCAGGAATTTTAGCTTGAATAGCAAGAAGGTTGGAAATCCATTTACTAACATTTAGAGTGGGAGGAACAAGATTGCCTAGTGTAGCTGCAGAGGAACAGCTGAGGCTCAGGTGGCGTATGGCGCTTGAGAAGCTTGGTGGGGGAGTGCTGAGAAGGCAGCTGTTGGGTACACAAGTCTGGGGACTAAGGAAGAGATCACGTAGGGAATCATCAGTTTGTAGATCATGTGAGAGAAAATCAGAGAAGGAAGTGGGCCTGCAGCTCCTCAAGGCCGGTGAGGGGAGTCGGAAGCAGTGGAGGGCACGGAACGGGGGGAAAGGGGGTCCTTGGGGGAGGTGGCCAGAAGGCAGCTGTAAGTAAGCCATTGGGCTGAGCCACCTGTAGGGCAGTGATCATCTGTGCAGGCTGTTCTCTGTTGGAATTGGGGTGGGGGCAGGTTAGATGATTAGGGGAAAGGATTGTTGATGACAAGTTGTTTTCTGATGAGTTGTCAGAGACTGCAGAGGAGCAGGGAGGGGGCTAGAGGGCAGGATGTGGGACTGGAAAACTTCAGTGGGAGAAGTGACAGCATGTATGTGTGCTAATGAGAATTATTTAAAGATGAAAGAATTAATGATTTCAGGGAGTGAGGGGGGAATTCTTGGAGGGCTCTGCCTAGCAGTGGATTCTCGTGCGGGGAGCTTGTCTTTGCTAGAAAGTGGAGGGTGTGTGGGTCTTGTTGTAGATGGGGCGGCTGTGATGGCAGCCCCAGTCTAAGTTCTCACAGTGGAGTGAGAATGGAGGCGGGCTGGAGCTTTGAGGAGAGTGGGCAAGGTGTGAGAGCATATTTACCAGGGCATGGGGTGCGAAGGGCTGCGGGAATGCCTTGGCTTGCTGGGCAGTTAAAGGTCTCCCTGAGGTTAGCAGGCGTGCCTTGCCTGGAGGGGCACCCCATTGGCATGGCTGTGTGTGGCTTCTCCAGCAGCACTTATGTTGGAGGGATAGCACTTGCCATTAGGCTCCTGCAGTGTTCCTTGGGCTATGTTTTGGGCGATGGCAAAGGTTCTGAGAAAAGTCACTGGACAGATGGGAAAGAAGGTCCATGGGGGTTTGTGGTTACCAAGGAGCTTGAGAGAGGTGGGCCAGTTTCTTCCCAACAGACTTGCTACATGGAATGGTGGCTGTTCTGTAGTCTTCGCTGCTTTGTGAGTATGCTTGATGATTTTGAATCTTGTGCGCAAATAAAACATCTTTAAGTTTCTTTTCCTTTGTGGAAGAATACAAGTATTTAGTGGCAGGATATGAGATTCCCATGTAACTGTCACTTGTTTCCTGTTAGGAGAAATGAGCCTCGAAAGCAGGCGGGAAGCTTGGCCCCGCTCTCAGATGCACCCCCCTTGAAGAGTGGACTTAGCTCCCTGGCGGGAGCCCCCTCATTAACAGACTCTGAGAGTAAGTGCCTGAGATGGAGCATGGGTGCGCACATGGGGTGTGGGTACTCAGAATGTTTTTCTCTGAGAAAGTAGTATGTGAGTACTGTTGTTTTTTTTGTTTGTTTTTTTGGTTTTTTTTTAGGAAAATCATTAAAGTAGCCCATAATTTTATTACTCAGATATTTCCTGTTCATATTTTATTTTTTTACTTTCCTTTTAATGTGGTTGTATTTCTTATACCATCAAAATACTTTTAGGAAGTTGACTTTTTAATTGATTAATATTGTCTGTAGAGATACTATAATTTTTAAATTATCTCCCTTTTTGGGACATTCAGAATGACTTGAGTTGGATTTAAGTTCAATTAATTTTTAAAAATGTGTGATACCACAGCACTTATCATAAGAGTCATACATAAAACCTGATTCTGCCTTCAGGGATTTGGCTCTGGTGTATCTTTTTCTATGTAGTAGAGCTGAAGGACATGTGCTGGACTTGGAATAGCCTGGCCCCTGCTCGCCCCCCTTACATGTGGTGGTGGGAGCAGGAATACAGAGAGGCTAGCCTTGAACACAGACAGGCAGGTAGACTTTGTATAGTATCACAGTACAGTTACGATTAACTGGTAGTGTTACAGAGCATAAGTGTACCTCTTTTGAGAAAGTTTTTTTTTTTAATCAATATTTTTTATTTTGACATTGTGGGGTACAGTTTAGGGTTAGGTATACAAATATGCTTCGTTCAGGCACCCTTGTTGATAAGGGGTGTCTCCCTGTTCCCAGACAGATATTGACTACCATTAATCCCACCTCCCTTACCCTCCCCCTTGAGAAAGTTTTTAAAACTTGATTCACTAGGAATATGCAGTATGAGTCTTGCCTAATTTTGCAGTACCCCCTGACTTGTATTACGTGATATAATCATGGAATTTCCTAGGGAACATGAAAGAAATGGTCCACTGCTTCTGAGACATCTGGTCAACTAGCCCTGTGGGCATGAATAGGGCCCACATCCCTTCTCCTTGTCTTCTCTTTTGTGGTTATTGTCGTCTTTAAGAAAGGAATCTAGGAGATGATCGTGGTACTCTAACACTAAACCGCTGGAGGACACGGAGAACCAGCAGCTTAAAAACAAAACAAAAAAATGCTGAGGAGACCACTTTAGTAAATGACATAGCAGATATTTCAAGAAAATTTGAATTCAAGAAAAATTTAGAAGTTCGAAGCGAAAATAAAATTAGTGAGAACAATTAACCTATAGTCCATGAATTCATACCTACTGGGGTTGCACGTGAAAGGTGATATCCCATGGTTGGGTAAACATTTATTTTGATGACTGTGTTCCAATAAAGAATAGGATTGTTCATGGTTTAAAGAGGAATATAATGTGAATTTTAATCATTCATTAATCACAGGATGTGATTCCCCCCCCCTTAGTTTTAGATTAGTATGCTCCTGTCGTAAAGAAACTCCATATTGAACAAAAAATGATGTGGTTTAGAGAGTGTTGTATTCTAAAAGTCACTTTAATGCTAATATTTTTTCCTGTTCACAGGTAAAAGGGCAAACACAGTTTTGAAAGATCTGAAATTGGTCAATGATAAGATCGGATCACTTGGATTAGGTAACTAGATTTTCAGTTTCAGTGCTGATTGCTTTAAAGTGACAATTTTTCAGTATAGAATTTTTGTTTTATTTTTACATTTACTGATTTATCATGAGGGATATTGCAAAGGATACAGGTGAAGAAAAGCATAGTGTGAGGGTGGAGGAAGGGCTCAGAGCTTCCATACCCTGCCTGGGCACCACTGACCAGAAGCCTCATGTGTTCTGCTATTCAGAGCTTCCTGAACCCAGTCCTCCTGGGGAGGACAGAATTTTACATGCAGGGACTCGGTCCACCTGCATGGAACGCCTTTCTGCGGCTCATCCAGCAGGCACTGGAATTGTTTTTATGTGTTCAGGGTTATACTCTGTGCCAGGGGTGGCTATGGCAACAGTCTTCCTGTCCTCGTGGACCTCTGTCCTCAGGGAGTTTCATTTCTCATAGGAAAGATAGACATTAAACAGGCACCTAAGCCGGGCTCGGTGGCTCAGCCTGTAATCCTGCACCTTTGGGAGGCTGAGGTGAGTGGATTGCCTGAGCCCGTGGGTTCGAGACCCGCCTGGGCAGCGAGACCTCATCTCTACAATAACTCAAAAAATCAGCCAGGCGTGGTAGCGCATGCCTGTAATTCCGGCTACTTGGAAGGCTGAGGCGGAAGGATCGCTGGAGGCCAGCAGGTCGAGGCTGCAGTGGCCGGGAGTGACCACTGCACTCCAGTCTGGGTGACAGAGTGAGACTTCAACTCAAAACAGGCACCTGCAGATATTTTGAGTGTTAGAAGGGTCAGTAGGCCTGGTGCCGTGGCTCACACCTATAATCCCAGCACTCTGAGAGGCCAAGGTGGGAGGAGAGGTTGAGACCAGCCTAGACTCCGTAGCGAGACCCTGTTTCTATTAAAAAATATATATATAAATATATAATTTATAAATATATATATAAAATGTGTGTATGTGTGTTTTATATATATATACCCATACATATATAAATGCCCAAAAAATGTTTATACATTTGCAGACGTCATAGTTAAAATGTGTATGTATTTTTTATACACATATTGTGTGTATATATTTTTACATATATAAAATAAACAAGAAGGTCAGTATATGTGCGTGTGGAAATGACTAGTAGGTTACTTTCACCTGGTCTAGGCATTCAGGAAAGGCCTCTTGTAGGAAATGGCTTCTGTGCCAAGGCTTGAAGATTAAGTAGGAGTTGTATAAGGGGAAGGCAAGAGATAGAAGAGATTTCAGTTCAGACCAAGAGAAATTTGTGCAGAGGCAGAGCCATTCTCTAGGTGCTGGAAGTACATGGTCCAGGTCTCAGAGAATTCAGTCCAGTCAGGAAACAGACAAAAGAAAAAATGGTAGATGTGTTCAGTTCTGTTCTACAGGGCACACAAGTTGGGGATCCTGCCTGGAGCACATTCGTTTCTATGTAAGTGAGTGTCCGTAGGAACATCCCAGAGTCCTGCCATGTGTTGGGAGACGGCTCCCATCCAGTGCTCTGTTTTGCATAAGACCACAGCAGGTGTGACAGGCATACCTTAGGTGAACTCAGTTGCTGACCTGCAGGAAGTGGTGCAGCAGCTTCTCCAGGGCCACTTCCTGTCCTCTCTGTGGCCTCTGAGATGTTTTCCTAGTCTGTAGTTGCTCACACATGGAGCCATGGTGCCATATCACAGGCAGGGTGGGGAGAAGGGAGAATGTATTTCCATGTGCTCTTTGCCATAACAGCCCAGGTGTGTCTGAGGGGGCAGCTCAGGGAATGCCCCTCCCTCTTGTGGTGAAACAGTCTGGATAGTGCACAGAACTTGAGTTGGGGCTGGATAGATTTAAGTGGAAATCCCAGATGTGGCACTGATTGCTGGGTAAGGTAGGTAGGTCAACTGTGCTTTTGTTTCCTCATCTGTTAAGTGGGACTAATAACATCTACCTCTTTTTTTTTGAGTTGGAGTCTCACTCTGTCACCCAGGCTGGAGTGCAGTGGCACGCTCCCGGCCACCGCAGCCTTGACCTGCTGGGCTCTGGAGATCCTACCGCCTCAGCCTTCCAAGTAGCTGGAACTACAGGCGTGTGCTACCATACCTGGCTAATTTTTTGATTTATTGTAGAGATGAGGTCTCACCATGTTGCCCAGGCTGATATCAAACTCATGGGCTCAGGCAGTCCTCTCGTCTTGGCCTCCCAAAATGCTGGAATTATAGACTTGAGCTACTGCCCCTGGGCCATCTACCTCATTTTAAAGAGTAAACAGTATTTAAATATGTATACATACACAAAGTACAAGACCTGGCATGGTAGGTGCCTAATCTGTGTTGGGTTCTTTTTTGTTACTCAGTTCCTCTGTAGCAGCCATTTGCAGAAGAATAGATGTCCCCTGGGCTGCCCGCATTCTTGTTCCACATGTGCCCTGGGGTCCTGGGAACTGCTGACTGTCTGCCCTCTGCTCTGTGTGCATCTTGGTCACTGGTGGGCCTGCTCCCCTTCCGGCCCTCATTTTTTCCCTGTTGGGTGCAAGTGCACTGCAGTAGATGTTCTTATGCACACTGCCTCAGTGGATAGCCACTACCGGAGACTTGACTTCTGACCTTCACACCTGGACAGCTGCTCGGTCCTCTTCCTGTTTTGGTTTTTGTTTGAGGTTCACTTCTGTGATGTTTTGCTCTATCAACAAACCTTTTAGCTTGTTTCTGTCTTCTCTGTTTTCTTATTAAAGCGAATGTTTCCCAGTCTGCTTTTGAGGAGGAGCTGCTCAGAATTGTCACCAAAAGTAGGGAAAGGCATTGTTCTGACTGCAGAGTGGCTGGCTGGGGTTGAAGAGTGGCGAACTGCTACATGACACCTTCTGTTGGGACTTTGTGGTAGCTGGGGTTGGAATTTGGGTAGTTTTACAGGTACAATGTACCAGTTCACTAGCGGAATGTTTTGTCATTCAGCCAGGCGTTATGATTCAGTAGAAATAAAAATTTTATTTAGTTTTGTTTAGTGTTTAATTAGTATTGCACCAATATTGTTTTCTGATTTTTTTTCCTGTTGTATTCTAGATATTTTAAGTAATACTTAGACATTAGTGGACTAACCTAGGATAGTATTAGTGATATATGCCTGGCACTGTACCAAATGATTATTTAATTCTTGTCCTATGAAGGTTTTGTATTATCTCCATTTTTACAGATGAAGAATCTAGGTTTACTAAGATCATATTGCTTTTTTAATCCTGTTGTATCGCCATGGAGCCCTAGCCACTCTTGACTGCCTGTATGTTATTTGGACATTATTTCAATATATCATTTAAAAGGGAAAATTAATTTTGAGTTTGAAAGAAACTATAAGTAAAGGTTTGAGCACAGTTTATGTTAGTTGGGCAGACAGGTGTTAATCAAAGGACGAACATGCCCTGTTGGAATGTTTATAGACAAGCACTTTGGATGTTTAAAGTAGGAGTCACCAAGGTTTTTTGGTTTTTTGTGTTTTTTTTGGTAAAGGACCAAATAGATATTTTGGGCTTTGTGGGCCACATGTGGTTTCTGTCACATATTCCTGTTTTTTTTCACAATCCTTTAAAAATGTGAAAGCCATTCTTGGCTCACAGGCTAAACAAAAGCAGGTTGTCAGATGGAAGGAAGAATGAAAGTGAGGAAAACAAAAGACTATTGTAAAATGAAAGTCCAGGCTGGAGGCGAGGGCTTGGGTGAGGCAGATGTCCTCAGATTAGACAGCTGGCTGATTTGAGTGGGAGGGAGAGACTGTCAGAATGCAAAGAAAACAAGAAGCCTTGGACTGTGGGCCTGAGTTTGCTGGCCCCTAATTTAAAGTAATGCAGTACAGGTTGAATTTCCCCGTATCCAGAATGCTTGGGACCAGGAGTGCTTTGGATTTGGGGTTTTTTCACATGGACCTGAAATTTGAAATGTTCCATTGCCTTGAAATGTTATGTTAGTGCACAAAAAGGAGCTTTTGGAGCTTTTTGCATTTCAGATTTTTGGATTTGGAGTGCTCAACCTGTTAAACCCACTCGTTTTGATGCTGACTTGTTAAGTTACTGTAATGCTGTGGAACACATAACCAGGAAGTTGGAATCTCATGTGTTTGTAGCACATTATTCAATAACTATCTTGTACTCTTGAATTGGATACAAATGCTAGAAGGGAGAGAGCCCAGTTAGCTCCCTCTTGGAGCACACGACAGCCACCACCTGCCGTTCCTGCTGTTTGAGCCCAGTGACCACCTCTGCTGTTCGCATTAGGGTTCCCACCAGGGACCAACTTCTTAGTTCTTGCAGACCAGCCACCCATGTGATTGTTTAGTCAGAAGGTTTCCACCCCCTCCTCTTCCTGTGCCTGCCTGGCAGTGCCTGCTTTCTGCCAGGCACCTGCAGCCCCTTAATCTTGCGACTGCCAGTGGAGACAAGCTCTTTATTCTAGAGAGGAGTACAGCCGGGAGACACGTCCCTCCTCCCTGCTTCTCATCAGGATTTCTCATTCATTGCCTGCTGCCTTCTGGGTTTCTTGTTTTCTTTGTCTTCTGATAGTCTCTTCTCCTTACCCCCATACCTTCCATCTGACCATCTTACTTGAAGACACTTGCCTTCACCCAAACCCTCACCAGTCATCTCTGGCTTAGGCTTCTGTGATAATCTTCTATTTCCCTCACTTTCTTTCTTGCTTCTCCTAAACATATTTCTTCTGGCAGTGGTGGGAGTGTGTCTGTGGAAAACAGAACCAGATTGTCTCCTGTATTGTTTTACTCTTGTCTCCCCCAGCCCAGCTTCCCTTGTACTCAGGCTACTGTCCTGACTGAGCACCCAGGCCCTGAGTCCCCTAGCATCTACCAGCCCCTCTATTTACCACCCTTGTGTGCCCCTTCCCGCTCCGCCCTCCAGATTCACACTGATGGTTTTCTTTCTTCTTTTTTTAAAAGACAGTATCTTCTTTTTTTTGAAAATAGAAAAAAGGGAAGACTGGTCTTGACCTCCTGGGCTCAAGTGATCCTCCCATGGCCAGCAGTGAATGATGATTCCCCCAAGTGGCTGGGATTATAGGCACACCCAGCTACATAAGTGGCCTTTTAGCATCCACCCCCCTGCCCCATCCCAGGGCCTTTGCCATTTCTTCTCTTGGAACATGTTTTCCTCATCATGTGTGCCTCAGATGCCTTGTTGAGGTTTCGCTCAGCTGCTGCCTCGACAGTTCATCCAGGGACCCCAGCAGCATTGGGCTTGTTCCACTGCTTGGAGTGTCTCCCTCCGGAATGGAGTATTCACTCCTTGAGATCAGACACTGTCTTCATCATTGCTGTGTCTCCACCCCAGTAGGCACTCACATATCTGGTCAGTTAATCATAGGATTTACCCTAATAGCGTTTGCTTGTCTGTCCAGTTTGTGTCCCCTTAGCAGTGTGACTGACTTAGAGGCAGTCTGTTCTGCTTGGGAGGCTCTATGAGCAACTTGCTGTCCTGCCGATTCCTCATCATGATCGGCTCCTGCTTGTGGCCTTCTGTAAGCCCGTGTGTTTCCATGTGCCTTTTATGCACACTTAACTTGGCTCTCCTGCCCCCAGGCCTGTGCTCTGAGGTTGACAGCCTGCTTCCTCAGCTAGCCTTCAGAAGACATGTGAAGGAATGGCAGCCCATTTGTATTAATACATGTGACCTTTAAAGCCTTCCGTGAGTCTGAAAGGTGCCCACTGTCAGAACTGTCACACTGCCTCCGCAGCCAGCACCTTCCCTCATTACAAGAGCTCACTGTGGACCAGTGCCTCTGTGGAGTGCCCCATGTGCGTGAATCCTCAGGCTGACCCTGTTGGTGGTCCTCGAGAGCCGAGGACACGGCCAGGAAAGGGCATCTGACCACCCAGGTGGCAGAGCTGCTCAGCGGTGGCCTTGGGGCTGGAGCCTAGTTCTGTCTGAGTGGCAGGGCTCTGCCTTCTGTGCGCCACTGGCTCCACACACCGAATTCTGTATAACAACCATTGAGTTGAAAAGTCTCAGCAGTTCCAAAAGAGGGCCCTAGAGGGGACTGACATGGCGTGTTGGTGCTCGGCCCCATCATTCATGGTGACTGGGTCTTATATGTTAATTGCATTCAAGTACCTGGAATAAAGACCAGGTGTTAGCTGCAGTATAAGATGTGATGTAACCACTTATCACAGTTTATTATTTCTTAGGTAGTTGATTTTGTCATTTGCCTTCGTATTATATATGGTAAAAATATTTCTGGTCCTTAGTGATATGATATAATTCAGTAATTTTTTTTTTTAAGAAAACATGTTTAATTGTAGGTAGATTGTGAAGTGTGTTAGCTATAACATATATCTTTTCTTAAACTTACCAGGAACTGGGGAAGAAGATGACTATGTTGATGATTTTAATAGGTAAGGAAAACAGTTGGGCAAGTATGGATGTGTATATTTGTAATATATTTGTAAACAGTTCCTAAACACAGACAAGACAGAATTCCCTTGTCTTGCTGTATTTGATTCTCTTGTTTGTATTGATTGGAAATGAATAAAAGATAGTTAATCCAGAATTAAATATTAGACTTTGGAGTATGTTTTTGATTTTACTTTAGATACAAACATCTGTATTATGTTCGGGAAACTACGTTAGAATAAGATAAAGAAAAAATCTTGAAGGATTGACTCAGAAGCATTGTCATAAGCCATATCATAAGTTCTCCTTTCATCTCTTTGTGATGGGAGTTGTCTCCATTTAACTTTGAAAAATTGCCTCTCAAGTTACTTTTCTAACTCAGATAACATTTTCTTAATGTTTTGCTTCAGATAACTTTGTTGTATATGTGAGGATAATATAATCTGTGTGTGAGCTAATAATGCTGGAGTGAACTTTGTTATAGGTATGATTCAAACTTTTAAATTAGGTGCCTGAGGTTTTTTTTCAATTGGAAGTTTATAATTCTTTTTTTTTTTTTTTTTTGAGTTGGAGTCTCACTCTGTTGCCCAGGCTGGAGTGCAGTGGCATGCTCACAGCCACCCCAGTGTTGACCTGCTGGGATCGGGTGATCCTTCCACCTCTGCCTTCCAAGTAGCTGAAACTATGGGCGTGTGCTACCACGCCTGGCTAATTTTTTATTTATCATAGAGACGAGGTCTCGCCAAGTTGCCCAGGCTGATCTCGAACCCACAGGTTCAGGCAATCCACTTACTTTAGCCTCCCAAAGTGCTGGGGTTGTAGACTGAGCCACCGAGGCCACCCCATATTTATTTTCTAATAGAATAATTTAGTATACATTTTTTTTGAAACAGAGAGTGAGGTAGGAGATGAAAGTGTAAAAATCTAGGTTTATTTCTCTCTTACTATTGTGACTCTGAACCTTTGTCTCTTCATCTGTTACGTTGACTTGATTGCTGTGTAAGGGTCGAGTAAAATAGTACATACATAATTAGTTGCATTTAACATTGTATTTTACTGAAAGGATTAAAATACATATCTGAAAATGTGAAGATTGGTAGTTATTCTCCTTAAACATTTATTTTCATGTTCTTATTTTCTGTTTTTTCTTCTGACATTAGTACCAGCCATCGCTCAGAGAAAAGTGAGATAAGTATTGGTGAAGAGATTGAAGAAGACTTTTCTGTGGAAATAGATGACATCAATACCAGTGACAAAGTAAGGTGTTGTGTATTTCCTGTAGGATGCTATTCTTGCCTGTTTGTTAATTTGCTGTAAGGCTTCAAAAATTCATGCTAATTAGTAGAAAAACAGTTGAAAATTGTGAAAAGTCATGACAGAGTTACCTGGTCCAATTTTGTAAAGAATGTCTTCGATGAATCTGTACCACTATTTGTCATTTCCTTTGATGTCTGGGTGCTTTGAAATGTCTGAGGACGTTCCTGGGCACTGTGACTGCTGTGGACTGGGGACCATGATGGATCAGGGCCAGTGAGAGTTGGCCATGGTTCCATGTTAGTACAGAGGACTGTGGTCACAGGATGGTGCTGAGCCTGGAGTGCTCAGAAGACTGTACTCATTTATTAGTCATATGAGTTTAGGCAAGCAATTCTCAATCTACAGAGTATAAAATAATACTTTAGTAGTAGCAGTATGTTTTATACATTACTTAATACTCTTCTTGCATTCTGACATGAATTATTTTCTTCCTTTTGAACAACAAAGCTCGATGACCTTACACAAGACCTGACTGTGTCCCAGCTAAGTGATGCTGCAGATTATCTGGAAGATGTTGCCTAGACATGAAGAGGGAAGGAAGTATTCGCACAGAGGACAAAGGACTGCCTGTTCCATCTTTTTCCAGACAAATGCTCTTGGCCGGAATGTCTGCTCCCTATTGATTGGTGCCTCGTGTTTCAAAAAAACTGCATATATTTTTTTAAAATTAACTTTTCATTTTACTAAACAAAATACTTCCTATTTGAGCCATGTGTGGAAGATTTACTATTGTTAATTTGGTTTAGCTTTACATTTCTTTATGGAAATTGGTGATCTACGCTCAAGTTCATTGGAGGGAGGGAGCCTGTGAAAACATCAGTGTGAAGAGCATGACAAAAGGTGTCAGTATAGCCATAGGTTTGTCCAACTCTGTGTGTGTGGCTGCTAGTACACATGACCTTTGAAAACCATGACTTGAGCCATCTGGAATTGAAGCTTACCCACTGCAGTGTATTTTGATGTGAGGTGGTTCTATACGCAGTCGGCAGATGACCTAATGAATTGTAATACTGAAACCTGTAAATGTGAGTTAAGCTTGATGTGTCAACTTTGCTTTGTATTTCCTTCTATTTGGAAGGTTTCTTAGACTGTTGAAGTTACATTGAAGTACTCTTGTGTGTGCTATTTAGTTTTGCTTGTTTTAAATAAGTCTGGAAGTGGTTGTGACTTAACTCATAGACTTGTCAGTAACAGGTTACGTTTGTGGTCACCACTCCTCCTGTGTCCATGTAAGCAGCTCTAGTCACAGATTCTCTTCCTTATAATTTATTCTTTGTAAAGAGTCCTTGAAACATTAAATACCAAAATGCATCTGAAACCATTATGCAGTGCTTTTATTTCAGATCTGTAAGTTAATTATATTAAAATCCAAATTGGAATGAAGTAGTAGTAATGGCCTAAGACCATATTCAGTTTCACAAGCTTTGTATACTGTACATAATTTCATTGTGACCCTTTGAAAACAGAGCCATGGTAGAATTTCCAGCAGTCTCATACGTGCTGTGAAGTGTGTGCGCCTATGTACGTCACTGACGTATTTAAATGTGCAAGCAGGACAAAAGGGAGTGGAAGTGACGGTGTATATTCATAGGGATGTGGGTAGTGCTGTGGTTGCATTAAGTTTTTGTACTTTTTATTTCAGTTAAATTAAGGATTTTTATTAAATGTTACCTTTATTAATAAAAGGAGCGAACCATGACTGGTAAGCAGACTCCATGGTTTGCATAATTCCAAATTTTCATTTCATATTAGCCTAGGTATTACAAAAATATTTTGAGGGCCCTAAAATGCAGAGGAAATGAAAATTTAAGGATTAAGGTGATGTGGTAGCATCTGGCTTTTTAAGATTTAATTGAAGCTATGCTCTAGACATGACGAGGGAGGATGTCCAGCAGGTCCGGCAGCTTCCTCTGTTCCGCTCTCAGTCTGTGGGTGCCATCTCCATCTCACCTGACCTCAGCACATCTGTCCATTGGCAGCACCGTGGGAAGCCATCTTGTGACTGAAAGTCCCCAACGTGCTGCTCATCAGTGCATTTCTTCATCTGTCATCTCTGTCAACAGCCCCGTTCCAGAAGCACTGTAGACTTGCTCTGGCCCTCTGGAATCTGGATCCCATGTGTGATTTATTTCAGTGAAATAGTTTGAAATCAGCATAGCGGGGTATGGCTTTTTAATTTGTGGAAAACTTGTGAATGGTAGCACCTGGAATTTGACACTTTTCTATTAGAGAATCAGACCTTGTGATGATATTTGGAAGGTGGGGAGAAAAGCACCCAGTAGGAAACTTCATCATCAGTGCTACGTGTATCTTATGAATAATTAAATGACTTTAACTGTGAACATGTTTCCACATGTGCTTCTTGATTAGGTATTATCAACCTGTTCAGCTTCAAGGTGTGAAGTGACAGGTTTTGCATGTGATGAGTGTTTTTTCTTAAAAATAAATATTGAGATATTAGCCCATGAAACACATTTTAATGGTGTCCTGTGTGCTAAAGTGGAACTCCTAAAGTGCTCATTTTATTGATGGTAACCGCAAATTAATAAAAAGCATTTGTTCTTTGTATCCTCTTGTGCCTTTTTACTCTGCTGTGTGGGATAGTAGCTAGCAGCCAGTCGTGCAGCATAGCGCCTGGTTCCTGCCCATGCTGATGGGTCACTCACCAACCCCCTTGCTCGTGACCCTGGAGCCAGGCAGCCTGCAACCAGTGGGCCTTCACACTGAGACCTGCGAGGCAGTCCTGTCTACAGGCATCTGTGTCTGCCTCTCCTTGTCTGGACCATCCCTCCTCCAGACTTGCAGGGGCTGATTCACTCCTGAGAAGCTTGGAGATCTGCAGGACTTCTCCCCCCACCTCCCACATTGTGCTCACCCCTCGTATTTTATTCACCTCTCGGCATACTCTGAAAAGGTCGTATGTGTTTCTGGGTCTTTACCTGTGAGCTTCGTGAGCCCAGGGATTTTTTTAAGTTACTGTATACCTAGCACAGAATTGGCCCCTAGCATGTGCTCCATGTCTGTAGGGTTGTAAACAGGCTTGAGCACTGGCAAAGGGACTGGGGTTGTGGTTTCTGGCTGGGTGGCTACCGCCCGAGGACACTGCTATACGACCTGGGGGGACAACCATCCTTATCCTAAACCTGGAGAGGCCCCTAAGTGCAAGTCTGTAGACATGGGGGCAGAAGGAGGACTGCCTCCGTAGGTCATGTGATGAATTCAGTCACTGCAAGGCTGTTGGGATACTGCTGTCTGGAGGAGGCGCCCCCTGCACGACTCTGGTGTGAGGCAGAGCAGCTTGAGGCCATGGGATGCCTTGCAGACACGGAAGGAGGAGGCAATCCCTGGAGAAAAACGGCCCAAGGGGAGCCCTCCTGTCTGGCATAGTGTGGGGAGCAACTCCCCCATGAAGTCTGCGGTGCTCGCTAACCACACCACACCCTTCTGATGCCCACACTGCAGTCTCCCTATTCTAGGAAGGGTTATGTCTGGGGAGACAAGGACACCCGGGGCAGTTCCTTGGTGAACAGCCCCAATACTGTCCTCAGAATACGGTACGGTCGGCCCTGACATGTAAGGAGGTGAGTGTTACAACAGGCTGAGACGGTCAAAGAGAGCTTCCCTTCGAGAAAACAGAGAACAAGTTACTTAAGAAACAATCTGGTGGGGACTGAATGACTCCCCCAAATTCATGTTAGACCTAACCCCAATGTGATGGTATGAGGAGGCAGGGCCTTTGGGAGGTGATGAGGTCATGAAAGCAGAGCCTTGTGGGTAGAATTCACTTCTGAGAGACCCCAGAGTGCTCCATGCCCCTTCCCGTGAGGACAGAGCACAACGGCGCCATCCACGAGGATACAAGCCTTCACTAGATACAATCCACAGGCACCTTGAGCTTAGACTTCCAGTGGTCACAGGTGAGCAATGAATTTCTATTCTCATAAATGAGACAGGCTAAAGTCCTTTAGCAACCCGACTGGATTAAGACAAACCTAATTATGCCACTCAGATCTGAGATAACTTGTACCTAAAAGAGGCTGCTTATGGAAAACATAATGACAATTTTTTATTAAAAGATTGCTGGGTTAAGACATTCATTAGTAGGGCAGGTGCAAAAATGCTAGAAGCCTCAAATATAAATCCGAGGACACCCAGATGAGGTCAAGCACAGCCAAGCGACTCAGCTGGAGAAATTGCAGTGGCAGACAGCTCGGTGCTGAGGCAGTCAAATTGGAGAAACATCCTCAAGTTCAAGAAAACCGAGGGTGTGGTGGATGAATGAGGATGGCAGGAAATGAGCGATGACATTTAACTTCCCTGGGAGTTAGAAGGGAAATGGTTTTTGAATGTGGAATTCATACCCTGATTTTTTAAAAAGGCACCTTGTTGCCAGTCAAAAATGGAACTCCAGACCAGGTAAGGTGGAGCTGGAACCCATGTGTCATCAGGTCTCTGCCGTGACCCTGTGGGCGGCGTGTGCTGCCACAGCCCCAAGAGGAAGGACTCACTCCTAATGGCTTCCCTCCCACTTCTAGAATGTGCCGTGCTATCCACATCTCCTGCTGCCAAGTAGCAACCGCGCCGTATGAGTTCCCCTCTGCACACTGCACACCAGACCTGCTTCCCAAGAAACCTGGGAGGAGGAGGCAGGCTTGCCCTGAGGTCTGAGCTCAGTGGGGCAGGTCGGGGGTGGGAAGGCACAGAGGGGCAGAGACTGTGCACAGGAGGCCCAGTGTTCTGGTATTTCTGGTATTTCAGCTGGAGGTTTCATTTGTCGATTTGCAGAATCTTCAAATTTGATGATGAAACTATTTTTTCCATAAACGTTTAATTGTCAAACGCTTGTAGTTTCTAAAAAAAATGGAGGGGAGAAAAGCCAATTTTGGCATCTTTTACCAGCTGCCAGACTTTTGGATATGACTCTTAATCATACTTACTTTATTTTAAATCATTCTTGGTTTCTAAAACTGACTAGTGGCTTTCTGAAATGGAGGTTTTTGATTAGTAAGTTCCCTATTCATTTAAAGCATTTGGTATTTCTTTCCCTGTGTTCTCAGTCTGTGTGGGATGTGTTTTTGATCTCGTGTGACTTGAGTTTTTAATTTGCCATAGATAGTCACACTGAATTGCTTGTCCGTGGTCCAGGCCTCCTGTGCTGAGATGGGGCCTTGCACACCTCGCTGTGGTCTAGAACACCCCCTTCCACCCACCTTATCCCTCCACCCCGTCTTCCATGGCTCACACACCAGGAGTGCCTGGACTTTAGGAGCATGTTTCTTTTATTTTTTTTGAGTTGGAGTCTCACTCTGTCGCCCAGACTGGAGTGCAGTGGCCGCTCCCGGCCACCGCAGCCTCGACCTGCTGGGCTCCGGCGATCCTTCCGCCTCAGCCTTCCGAGTAGCCGGAATTACAGGTGCGCACTATCACGCCCGGCTGATTTTTTGATTTATTGTAGAGATGAGGTTTCGCTACCCAGGCAGGTCTCGAACCCGCGGGCTCAGGCAATCCACTCACCTCAGCCTCCCAAAGGCGTGGGATTGCAGGCTGAGCCACTGAGCCCGGAGCATGTTTCTTTTTTTTTTTGAGTTGGAGTCTCACTCTGTCACCGAGACTGGAGGTGCAGTGGCCGTCCCTGGCCACTGCACACTCGACCTGCTGTGCTCCGGCGATCCTTCCGCCTCAGCCTTCCAAGTAGCTGGACCTACAGGCGCATGCTACCACACCTGGTTAGTTTTTGATTTATTGTAGGGATGAGGTTTCACCAAGTGGGTCTCAAACCCACGGGCTCAAGGCAATCCACTCACCTCGGCCTCCCAAAGTGCTGGGATTACAGGCTGAGCCACCGAGCCCGGCTGAAGTCATGTTTCTATGTCCCTGGTTGTGTCAAGTACTCGCCATCTCCCATGCACATTCCTGTCATGGGAGAAATATGATAATACTTTTAAAAACGTCCAGGATGCCATGTACAGGGGGTAGTCTGGGGTGGAGGTGCACTGGGAGACATGCTGGTCATGGTCACAGTGTGCAGGTGCTGTGTACAGGGTCTAGTGCAGATGTGGATGTACTCTAAGAGACCTGGTAACATTTCCTTACCAATGAATCTGTTTACAATAGAATTCTTAACTTGTTTTCAGGACAGGGATCATCCAGGCAGGTAACAAGAGTTAAGATCCTTTTCTTTCCTCAGTAGATTAGGGACAGGACAGGTTTTCTGTCCAGTGACCGATGGCTGTCGGCTGTCAGGGCCCACCCTCTCAACTTGAATCCCAAGGGCTGTGCTCTCTGGCATATTCCCCCTTGCTCCAGCTTCCAACAGGCGTCCATCCCAAGGGCATTTAATAAACAACTGGCAGGACACTTCGCCACCAAGACTGGGTCTCCTGGGAGTGGAGACAGAGGAATCATGTGATCCTCCTGAGGTTGAGTGAAGCATGCACGTGCACTCCATCAGGTGCTGCAAGACAAGAGGTTTGAGATGAACTTTGAACACTGGGACCCCAGAAAATGGTGGACTGATGGGGTTACCCATGGTTGGCAACCTCAGAGCCACAGCATGAGCACGGGGCACCTGGAACAGGGAAGGTATCCACTACGCGTCGTGAGGTCAGCAGGGCTGTGGAGGAGCATAGGAGCCGAGTGCAGGACTGGAAACACTAAAGTTGCAATTGGATGTGTCACACTGGGTGATGGCGAGTTATGTGACCTCAATGTTCTTTAAAAAAAAAAGTGGATGCTGTGACTCACGCCTATAATCCCAGCACTTTGGGAGATGGAGACGAGAGCATTGCCTGAGCCCAGGGGTTCAAGAACAGCCTAGGCAACTTGGCGAGACCTTGTCTCTACAATAAACCAAAAAATGAGTCAGGCGTGGTGGCACATGCCTATAGTTCCAGCTACTTGGAAGACTGAGACGAAAGGATTGCCTGAGCCCGGCAGGTCGAGGCTGCGGTGGCTGTGAGGGTGCTACTGCCCTCCAACCTGAGTGACAGAGTGAGACTTCCACTCAAAAAACAAACAAAAATATCAGTGTTCTCAGTTTGCCCATCTGTCCTAAGGGGATCAATGCTTCCTTCCCTGAAAGGGCTGCTATCACGTTCAATTAGATAAAGTCTGTGGAGAGCCTAGCATAATCCCTGGCAAGTAACAAGTGCTCAGGAAACACAGTTGTTCTTAAGAAGATTTGCAGGCCTTGGTGCCATCATGAGAGTCTGCGGGTGGGGAGGAGAGAGAAGACCCCTTGGATGGCTGTTCGGTGTCTGGTGAGCGTCTGTTCCTCTTTCATGGCCTCATTGGAATGTCACTTCCTCCTCCATCTGCGCCCCCCAGCTAAGGGAGCGAGTTGTGTTTTTATGATCCAGTCACTTTTCTCTCATTTCCCTATTTGTGGTGTTGTGGTTGGAACATGAGGTGCAGCCAGAAAACTGGATTTTCTCCACTACCACTTGAGGAGACTGAATAGTCACAGAACTTGAGGGATGTTGTAAAAGTTTACAGTGAAAAAGATTTTAACATCAAAATATGCACCATTCTTTCATCTGCAAGAGAATAATAGAATTAGAAAAATAGTT